GGTGTTGCTGTGATGCTGACTAGGTTCAGCTGAGCTTCCAGAGTAGGAAAGAAAGCTCTGGTGATTTCCTCCTGAAAAATCAGTCAGTGAAAACCTATTAGTAGATGGATGCTATAGAAACATATAGAACATATAAAGATAAGCTGTGCCTGACCCAAACCATGCTATTTCCAGTCATCTCATACACAGATTGAATATGTGACAGGTGAACAATAAATAAGACCAAAGAAAAACCAATGCCTTTGAATCATGGTGTTGGCAAAGAATAATGAATTTACTACAAAATCCCAAAAGGACACACAAATAGAAGTGAGGATGGCAAGATTCTGTCTCATATACTTCGGGAATATTATCAGGAGGCCAAACCATGGAGAAAAACATCATGCTTTGCAGAAGACAGAGTTAGTGAAAAAGAAGATCTTCAACAAGCTGGATTAACACAACAATTGCAATCATTCATCTAAACAGAGCAGAGAATGTTAAATGCTAGGCAGTTAAACAAAAGATAGGCAAAGTTGAACTTTGTCACATGTTTTGGACATGTTGTTAGGAGAGGTTATATCTTGGAAAAGGATATCATGCCAGGGTAAAGACCAAGGTGTGCCTGAACCAAGCCACAAGATTTTCAATTACTTCTCAATGCATCTGGAAGTTGGACAGTGAATAAGGCCAGAGAGGAGCCTGTGAATTTTGGTGTTGGAGAAGATTGTTGAACACATCATGAACTGCCAAAAGAACAAACAAATCTGTCTTGGAGGAAGTGCAACTGGGGTGCTCCTTAAAGTTCAGGATGATGAAATTTCATCTCATATGCTTTGAGTTTGTTTTTAGGAGGGGTCAATCATTAGAAATGATCATGCAGGGGAAGGTGAAGGGTCAATGAAAGAAGATGGGATGGTCCTCAACAAGATGGATTTACACAACAAATTTAACAATGGACTTGAGAGTGTCAGAGATTGTGAGGACAGTGTTGGACAGTGCAAGGTTTTGATGTGTTGTTCATAGGGTTGTTATGAATCATAGTTGACGCGAAGGCACCTAACAACAACATCGATAGACATTGAAAAAACTTACTTTCAGTTGCAGGAATGTTGTTATTGCTGTTGTTATGTGCCATCGAGTTGCTCGCGACTCTTAGTGAGCCTACGTACGAGAGCCCTAAACCCTGTTCTATCCTGTGTGAACCTTATTGTTGCTGACACAGTTACCCTCATTACCCCAGTATCTGAGTCAATCTATCTTATTGAAGGTCTTCCTCTCTTGCACTGTCCCTCCACCCTCTTAAGCACCCTCCTCCCTCTCCAATGACTGGTCCCTCCTTGTAACCTGTCCAAAGTATGCCAGACGAAGCTTCAGAATCCTTGCCTCCAAGGAACAGTCTGGTTTCACACTCTCTAGGCTGAACCTGTTTGTTCTCCTAGCAGCCCATGGTAAATTCAACACTCTTCTCCAGCACCACAGCTCAAAGGCATCAATTCTTTATCATCCCTGGTCATTGTCCAGCTCTCTGATGCACAGCAAGCAATTGCGAAGACTATGGTCTAGCCAAGGTGCACCTTAGTCTCCAGACTGATGTCATTGCTCTTCAGTACTCTGGAAAGGTCCCTGACAGCCAGCTTTCCAATGCAATTAATCTCTTGGTTTCCTGGCTTGCTGGTACCAAGATTGTTGATTGTGGAGACAAGCAAACTAAAGCTGTTAACAATCTCAATCTCTTCACCATCCATAACGATGCTGCCAATTGGCCCAATGGTGAGAATCTTTGCTTTCTTTATTATTATTATTAATTTCAATGAACATTCACAGAGATTGTGGATTTCCATTCATTCATTGTTGCACTTTTCTCCCCACCCACCCC